GTTTTGGATTTAGAAAATTTAAAACCGTTTTCAAGACACCATTTATTTATTTTATTTAAACACAGCTGCAGTTGCCGTTCAATAGTATGTATATTCTTACCCCGACAAGAAATATTAAAATCATCCACAAAAAGTGATCCATCAATTGAATGGGTTAAAACCTTGGATAAACTGTTGATCTTAATGCTAAATAAAGTGACAGACAAAACACTGCCTTGTGGGACACCCTGATCCTGAGTGGAATGATCAGACAGAGTAAAACCCACGCAGACTTGAAATTGTCTGTCATTTAAAACCTTTGATATAAATTGAGGCAAGTGGCCTCGCACTCCAAAGCCTTGTAAATTGTTTAAAATGCCATATTTCCACGTTGTGTCAAATGCTTTTTCTAGATCAAAAAAGATAGACACAGCGTGCTGTTTATTAATTAGAGCGTATTTAACACATGATTCTGAACGCACCAAGTGATCGACACTACTTCTGTTTTTACGGAAACCACATTGTATATCTGTTATTAGGTTATTGGTTTGAAAGTACCAAACAAGTCGATTGGTAATCATGCGTTCCATGGTCTTGCAAACACAGCTAGTTAGTGAAATTGGCCTATAATTGGAAGGATCAGTATGATCACGTCCAGGTTTAGGGATGGGCACAATTAAAGCATCACGCTACGACGAAGGAAATTGTCCAGATGTCCAAATGTCATAAAAAATACGTAGGAGCGTCTCCAAACATGATTCAGGTAAGTGTTTCAGGAGTTGATAATGTATACCATCAGCTCCTGGAGCAGTATCGTGGAGCTTGGTCAAGAGCAGTATGAAGCTCATGTATCGAAAAGGTTTCATTGTAGTCTTCCCCATTGTCTGAATTGAAATTAATAGATTTCTTTTCCTGCTGTCTTTGATATTTCTGGAATTCAGGTACATAGGTAGATGAGGAAGAATGTTTGCCCAAACTTTCTCCAAATTTATTTGCTATGTCAGATTTATCAGTTAATAATTCATCTCCATCTTTGAGATGCTTAATGCTAGATTTAGAGCCCTTACCTTTTATTTTCTGGATCATGTTCCATACCGTTGATATCGGTGTGCTCGAATTGATGTTTGATACATAGTTTACTTTGTTTAAAAGTATGCCGTCTTTTGGCATTTAAAATTTTAAATTTGTTTAAATTGTGGACCATAGGATGCCAACGGAAATAATGTTCAGCTTTCTTCCGTGCCTTGCGAGCTAGTTTGCATTCAGCGTTAAACCATGGTTTACGTACACGAGGAACTGCAGAGGATTTTGGGATAGAAGATCATGAAAAAATTCAGGTTTGAGTTTGTGAGCACAGAAAGTTTCATACAAAGACCAGTTAGCCTTCTTAAAGTTCCATCTTGATGATGGAGGAACATCAGATGGATTCACGGGTTTTAGTATTGTTTGGAATGGTCACTTCCACATAGTCCTCATTGACTGACCACTCAAATTCATTCAATAGGTCTGAATCTGTAATTGATAAAGACCAGAATACGTTCCTGTGCCAGGATGTAAATAAGTGTTAGAACCGTCATTGTATATGCATAAATCATTATCTGAACAAAAGTCTTCTAATAGTTTACCTTTAGCATTAGTAGTTGTACCACCCCAGAGCGGGTTGTAGCCATTTAAATCTCGCATAATGATACAAGGTTTTGGGAGTTGGTCATATACATTTTGAAGGTCAGTCTCCTGAAGAGTTGAAGATGGTGAGATGTATAAAGAGCATAATGTGAACGCAACATGTAACGTCAGTCGTACGGCAACCGCCTGGAGACCAGTATTAAGTATAACAAGGCTATGGATAACATTTTGTTTGATAAGGATCGAAGATCCTCCAGAGGACCAATCACCTGGAGGTGAAAAGGAATGGTAAGCATTGAAATGGCGTAAATCAAATGTATCCGTTTTTTTAAAATATGTCTCCTCGAGATAGATGGCTGATGGTGTGAAGTCCTGGACTAATAGCTGCAAATCTTTGAAATTATTCCTTAGCCCTCTGCAGTTCCACTGTACAATATTATTAAAAGACATTATCTTTTGGGATTTATAGGGGATCTACCCCGCACTTTTTGAGGGCGACAAGCTATGTGCCCTAGAATGGACGTTTTCAGATACGTCCATGGCCTCAAGAGATCCATATTTGTTGTATGACTGAATTCTTTTTCTTTGGGGCTTTGCAACTTTGTTTTTTGAAGGTATCAAGCTTCTGTTTATGTTTGCTTTTAGCAGTTTGCTGAGTATCAGATGACGATGGAGATTGTGAACGTGATTGAGTAAGTGACTTGTGATCTGAAGATGACTCTGCCTGCCTTTCAGATGTACTAGGAAGTGATTCCGTGGTTTGAAAGTAACAGTGCATTATTTGATGTTATACCATATTTTAAAGCAAAAGATAATAACATGATTTGTGGTGTTTTCCTTAATCAATGTTTAACTGTTAACAGGATTAGATCTAAATCTGTATGATTTGACACTAGGCATCATGACAAGCCCTTGAAGAGATGTGGTGTCAAAAGTCAGTTCACAAATTCAGCATCATCGTGTGTGTCCACCATTGGTGTTGATGTAGGTTTGACAACGACGACGACGACGCATAGACGACACTAAACAATTGAAGAAAGCTTGGGGAATGATGTTTCATGTCTGAACCAAAGCTTGTTCCAAGTCAGCTAAGTCAATGGCTGATTCTGAGTTTGACGTAAATGTCTCCCCATCTCACCCCAAACATGCTTAGGGAACTGGTCCGGGGAAACAGCTGGCAAGGGGAGTACAGGAGTGTTCCTCTGTCTCAGGAAATCTGTGATAAAACAAACAACATGTCGACGGGCATTATCTTGCGGAAGCGTGAAGTTACGTCTCTGTCCTTGAATGAACGGCTCCACATAATGTCCAATAATCTCATCTCTGTATCGCAGTCAGATTGCCACTGACAATGACAAGTTGTGTCGGACCATGATATGTGATAGCACCCTATACCATAACGCTTTCGATACAAAACTGTCAACGTTGACAACAGACACGAAGCATACCGTTCAGCATCGCCATCTGTACACCTTTGCCCTGCCATCTGAGCTGTCCAAAAGAAACCTCGACTTGTCAGAGAACAAAACACCATAACAATCCTGTTTCATATGCCATAGATGCTGTCTGCATCAGGCAAGACGTGCCTGTCGGTGACGTTGAAACAAAATTGGACGGATTGCAGGCCATCAGGGCTGGATATTGTGCGCACTCAATCGCTTCCGTACAGTCCTGGAACTGATTGGACGTAAACCAGGATTGTTCCTGAGCAGTCAAAGTGGCAGTCTGGAATCGATTTCTTAGATGGGTCAGACGCATGTGGTTTTCTTGCTGACGTGACGTCACGCGTGGACGGCCGGTCCGACGCAAATCTCTCGTGTTGCCATAATGTTGAAAACGTCTCCATAGAGATGAAATCGTGTTTCGATGGACTCCAAAATCTCTGGCCACTTCAGTTTGGCCATTCAAGTCTCCAGCATACCCAAGCCGCAGAGACGCTGATTTATACATACATACGTACGTACGTACGTACGTACGTACATACATACATACATATCATACATACGTGTACGTACGTACGTACGTACATACATACACACACACGCACACACACGCGCGCACACACACACGAACACACACGTATACATACATACATACATGCATGCATGCATGCATGCATACATACATACATACATACATACATTTTACCTATTCTACGTGTACTTTTAATGTATATATGAGGTGACACTCAAATAAACTATCTGTGTGTGTCTGTCTACACCCTACGCATGTCTACATATACAGCAAATATAGGTCCATTTGTAGTTATATAAGTTATATTGTCATCGGTTCCCAATTGCGCAGATCGATGCTCATGCTGTTGATCACTGGATTGTCTGGTCCAGACTCGATTATTTACAGACCGCCGCCCTATAGCTGGAATATTGCTGAGTGCGGCGTAAAACTAAACTCACTCACTCACTCACTATATAAGTTATATACACTTGTAGCTACTGCAATCTGTGTCCTGGCAAAGACATATTTGTACCCAATTATGACAGAATGAATCGTAGCTTATATTTAGTGCCTAGAAATGTTCAGTAGGCTCTCCTGGTCAAACAAGATAGTCATACCGTTTATGTAGTAGTGTTGAACAAAGCTATACACTATGGCATTTATGTTGAACTTGATGCGAAACTATAGCTTTCTCTGTGGACATGCATTGTTTCAGATCCCACACGAACAGGTGTAAGCCCATTTCTGGTGTCCCCCGCCGTGATATTGCTGGAATATTGCTAAAAGCGGCGTAAAACTGAACTCAGTCAGTCAGCCCATGAGTGGGTGAGCAAGTTTAGTTTTATGCCGCACTCAGCACTACTCCAGCTATAAGACCCGTGACGATCCCGGTGAGAATTGACGACTAACTGAATCGAATTGAAAGAATCGATGACTTGCTCACACAAGTCATCGTATCCCATATGCGTAGATCGATGCTCATGCTGCTGATCACTGGATTGTCTGGTCCAGGCTCGTTTATTTACAGATCGCCGTCATTTAGTTGTAATAATGCTGAGGGCAACCTTAAACAATAAACAAACAAACAACACACTATGTAACACAAGTGTAAAGTAAGCGTTTCGATGTATGACACAATATATGCACTAATACTAACAATGTTTGTTGCCTAAACTGCAGAAATATGTACAATTAAAATAAATAATATATCTATATCTATATATATATATGCTCATGGTTCCTTCAAGTTAAAACAAAGGTATCGTACAAGTGAACATATTAAAGTTTCATTTGAATATTTCAGAACAAGCGTCGTTTAATTCTCCACAAGATAGAGTGGTACAAGAAAACATAATTCTCTTTTCCATGTTTAATGCAGCACTTGATACAGATGCTGGAGAACTATGTATGACCCAGCGCTCTGCACGTGTGACAAGATCGGTGCGGCATCAGACTGTCATAATTATCTGTTGTTATATTAGTGACACCACGTGCTTCACTTTCAGCATTATCCCCTCTTCCTTCCATCGAGAGCTGATGTGCTCCTGCATTGGTTGCAGTCATCCGTCCGACTTCGGGAAATATTTCTATAGTCGCTGATAACTCCCCAGTATCAACGGTACCGAGGGGTGCATCCCATGGTTCATCAGTGTCTTGAGTCATGAAGCTTGTCTCTGCAAACGCATCGATACTCCCCGCTGTCATACTTCCAGAGTCTCTTCCATGGACCGACCAATCAGCAAGAGAAAGCAGGGGGTCTCAATAAGAGGAGGCTTCAGGTAATGTTATGTTCATTTCACCCGTAATGTCGCCCCCACTGTCCTGGTCAGGTTGCTGCATTGGAGCTCTCTTTTCTTGCTCTTCTGCAAGCTCTTCACTGTTGATAGCGTCCAGTGGTTTCACCTCTTCATATTCGTCATTCTCATCTACCTTCCTACAGCTACGTTCTAACTGTTGCCTTTCTCGCCGGATTCTTGCACCAGGTGGAATATTGTCATCAGATTGGATTTTACCGACAGGTCGCGCAAGGTTGCCTGCGCCACGTTCAAGTAAATCAGCATTGTCGATTTCAGCATAGCCTTGACTATCGATATTTTCTGGCATGTTCTGCATTGGTGTGATGTACGATCGTTGTGACCTGTGAAATATAGTAAGCCTTAGAGAAGGCTACGTGTATACCATATACATATATGACTGTATTATAATCTAAACATTAAGTGCCTAGTTCCGTCTAGCTTGCTCACAGGCGTTTACAGAGGCCTGTCCGATCACAGACAAAGAGATAGGTCTTCAGTTGTCAGTGGAATGTTTCCTTATTACATGTGAAAATGACCACAAGTAAGAGTATATGACTGATTCGAACACTTGGTGAATAAACAGAATACCCTTACCTTAAGTTCCAGTAATCTGCAAAATAGGAATGATGACCTTAATGATTCATGTTTGACATTAAGTTGCAAACGAAACCAAGGTCAGAGGGATGAAAGCGATTAAAAGCTGATATTAAAGGGTCTCTGAATGACAATTGGAAGTGATACATGAAAAGGATGAAAATTTATTGAAGTCAACATCTGTCCTGTGCTGCCACGACATTCAGAGTATATTTTTACTCCTTCACCACATGAAGAAAACTACAAAGCAGATGCATGTATAAGTACATGTGTGACAAGACTAGTGATCAGATGACAATGGTGGATGCTTAACAAGGGAAGCTAACAGTTAATGGTCCCAGCAAATAATCATGCCCTGGACAAAGGGAGATAACCACCCTGATAGATGATAATGAAGGCATGAGTGTTCTGACTGCTTCTGAGTATACAGAACCGCACACATGCCCGTTGGATTCACAGTGGCATAAAGCACAACTCACTCACTCACCTAAACAGTAATCTGATTTGATGAACACATTAAATTAGGTTACCTTGTCGTTTGATCCTTATCGGCATAATAGCTGCAACGATGAACACAGTCAGCACAATAAACAAGGCACAACACCCGACGATGATGTAAATGACGACCGTAGTAACGCCTGAAATATAAAATTCCACTTCAGTTTCCAAACTGATCTATTTCCTGGCTGTCAGTAACTAGCTGAAACCATGTTTCCCATGTGTGTTGTGAATTCTTTTGTCCAATAGAGTTTAATGTCGCAGAAGATACTGGTTTAAGAAAATCATGTTTGTCCTTCGACATCGAACTGTTACAAATGGTTTATGAAAAAAACCACACGAAATATGAAAGAGGACACACACATTTACGTAAAGAAAATAAAATTGATCGATATTTTTTCTCAAAATATTTTAATAATAATGGTGAGTGAGTTAATATTTAACGTCACATCGGCAATATTTCAGCCATATCGTGACGAGAACATTCTGATATTAGAATGAAATATCTGTATATTATAAAACACCTGCCGACGAAGGGCAGTAAAACAACTAGAATATCACAGATATCAATATAAAACTAGCGAACAAAGCTAAAATATTCCAATTAAAGAAGACAATACAATGTAAAAATGGGCTATAGATCGCCAACAACTGAAGGTAGATCACCATACTAGGAACCATGGGGACTTACATTACTTTCGCTACCTGCATGGATCCTAGTTGGATTTACACCATCCCTTCAGCAGCTGGCGATTGTAGGACAAGTTTAGCCAAAATTTAAATGAACAAATATACTACGATTAAAAATCGGGTAAGCAAAAAGTTAACTTTGAAAGTTTTAGGACTTACGTACCCTCTCAGGAGGACAATAATTTTACACTACTTCAACCCACTTTGAGGGTACAGCCACTAACAATCTCAGTTACTAATTCAAACTACCAATAATAAAATATTTATCTATTTACAAATCACTTAACAAATCTAATTCTTTTAAAAAGGCAATAACTAAATGAGAACTAACATTATTAAGAAGATCCTTCAATGTTTTGACATTAAAATACTTATCCCTTGTGATGGAATATTCAATGCAGTCAAGCAAGACAAGCTTGACTGTGATTCTTTCATCACAAGGGATACAGAACGGAGGATCCTCACCTTTTAATAGGTACTCATGAGAATATCTAGTGTGGCCAATACGACATCGTCGTATGATGACCTCTTCAAATCTGGACTGACAACCCAAGTAGGTGTAACCAATATAGGGTTTTATTGCATGTAATTTATTAATACCTACTTGGGTGTCCCACTTCTTCTGCATTAGATCACGGATGTAAGTTCTAATGCTGGCTTAAGGATAAGAAGTGATGTCACAGATTTGTTGAGGGCTGCCTTAGCAGCAATATCAGACATCGTGTTCCCAGAAATGCCAACGTGGCTGGGTAACCAACAAAAGACGATGTCGCATTGGCCAGTAGCAAGATCATTATATAATTCAATTATTTCAATTAAAAGTGGATGTTTCCAAGATAGATTTTTAATCGCCTGAAGGCAAGATAGAGAGTCAGAAAAGATTATATATTGTTTATATTTACGGTGTTTATTAATATATTTAAGAGCTGTTAAGATGGCGTTTGCTTCTGCTGTGAAAATTGAACTGTCATTGGGTAGTCTGAAGATATTGTTTTGGACTCCAATGACAGTGGCACAAGCAACCGCGCCACCAACCTTGGATCCATCTGTATATAAGGATTTATAGGTATTATATTTATTTCTTAATTGACTAAATTCTTGTTTATATTGTAAATCATTAGTTTCGGATTTTTTAAATGTGGTTAATGTTAAGTCAACTTCTGGTCTCACCAATTGCCAAGGAGGAGAAGAAAGAAGACGAGAAGGAGATATATTCTCCAGCTCAATGCCAGCAGCAGAAAGGAATGGTTTAATTCTGTGCCCAAGAGGCGGAACAAGAGAAGGCTGTTTGTTATACAAATCCTCATAAAGAGGATTGAAGACACAATTAAATGCAGGATTAGATTTGTTTGAATATAGTTTAGTAATATATTGTAAGGATAATTTAATACGGCGTTGGGAAAGCGAAGGCTCATCTGCCTCAACATATAGACTATCAACTGGAGAGGTTCTAAATGATCCAAGACAAAGTCTTAGACCTTGGGGGTGAACAGAATCAAGTAATTTAAGGTTGCTTTTGCAGGCTCCTCCATATATGATCGAACCATAATCAAGTTTAGATCGTACCAATGCTCGGTATAAGTGAAGGAGCGTAGTTTGATCCCCTCCCCACTTTGAGTTGGAAACAACTTTTAACAAATCGAGTGCCTTCAGGCATTTAGTTTTAAGTGTTTTAATATGTGGTAGAAACGTTAAGTGTGAGTCAAAAATAATACCTGAAGAACTTGGCCTCCTTCACAACTTTGATAGGAGTGCCATTTAGAGATAGTTCCGGTCTTTATGCGGCTTATATTTTCTACAAAAAGTGTAGACAATTAGTTTTGGACTTGGAAAATTTAAAACCGTTTTCAAGACACCATTTATGTATTTTATTTAAACACAGCTGCAGTTGCCGCTCAATAGTATGCATATTCTTACCACGACAAGAAATATTAAAATCATCCACAAAAGAGATCCATCTATTGAATCATTTAAAACCTTGGATAAACTGTTGATCTTGATGCTAAAAAGTGTGACAGACAAAATACTGCCTTGTGGGACACCCTGATCCTGATTATAATGGTCAGACAGGGTAGAACCCACTCGGACTTGAAATTGCCTATTAGCTAAAAAACTTGATATAAATTGAGGCAAACGGCCTCTCAATCCAAAAATCGTAAATCTCTTTAAAATACCATGTTTCCATGTAGTGTCATATGCTTTTCTAAATCAAAAAAAGATTGACACTGCATGTTGTTTATTAATTATGGCATTTTTTACAAAAGATTCTAAACGCACTAAATGATCGATGGTACTACGGTTTTTACGGAAACCACATTGTATATTAGTTATAAGGTTATTGGTTTCCAAGTACCAAACAAGTCGATTGTTGATCATGCGTTCCATGGTTTTGCAAACGCAGCTAGTGAGTGATATTGGTCTATAATTAGAGGGATCTGTATGATCCCGTTTTTAATAATAATGAATGGCATTACTTTGGTCAGTGTTGGCGGTTGTAGCTGTAGAAAGAAGTATCCCGGTAGTTGTCGCAGCTGAGGTTTGTGTGCTGGTGACAGTCACTGTGTTAGATGTGACATCTACAACAACAGGAAACAAATAGTAATACCATCCACCATCTGGATCGTAATCAAAGTGAGTGAGTGAGTGAGTGAGTTTAGTTTCACGTCGCACTCAGCTATATGTCGGCGGTCTGTAAATAATCCAGCGATCAACAACATTAGCATAGATCTGCGCAATTGCGAACCGAAGACATATGTCAACCAAGCCAGTGAGCCTGACCACCCGATCGCGTTAGTCGCCTCTTGAGACAAGTATGGGTTACTGAAGATTCCATTCTAACCTGGACCTTCCCGGGTGTATCATAAGCACAGGTAAAATGGAAAATCTGAAGGGATTGTTATCTTAGGAATTATAAAGTTTGCTCCAGACATATAGTTTAAATATTTGCTCTAAAATTGACAGCATTCGAACCTCCAAACTCTACACATTGTATTTTCAAATACCGGGAAATTTCATGCAGGGACTTGGGACAGTGGGATATGAAGGTGCCACGCAGCAATATCTTGTTAAGAGAGAGCGTTTCGATCGTAACGTACCCTGAGTATTTGCTGACGTCATGGAGGCTGGAGCCGCCGTTTGAGGTTTTGTTTGACCGATGGTAGAAGGTACAATACTAGTTGAAACCTGTGTAATCTTACGATCTGAAAAAGGATACATTCCAAAACATTTTACTTCAACTTGTTTTGAAGGATGGAAGCCACTATTAACCCTAATGACCTATAAGCTACCCCCTGCCAAGGAGAGTGTCACGTCCAGATAAAACTGATCAACTGTATCCAATACAGTTTTTCCTGTAGTACCGCTGAAACATATCTTGAGCCCAAACTGGTTTTGCTTCAAAGCGATTTTCTATTGCACATGTGTAACATTACCCAGAATTTGTTATCGCAGGACATCCAGGTGAGATGCCGTAGGACACAGAAAGGTACTCTTATTGATAATGCTTTAAATATTCAAATATATACTCGAGACTGCAATCACAAGTTGTGGCCACCATAAAATGATCTTCGCTTGTAATCACTCAAGTCATATCGACCAGCGTCCCCCTTTGTAACATTACAGATCAGCAACTTAACTGTTTTCCGGTAGGGTGAAGTGAACAGTCTGACGACCTTCACTTTTGATCGACTGTTTTGCCAGATATAGACAGAGAAAGATTGTATGGTGGCAATGGGTCCACCACTAGGAGACCAAACCACATCGCATCATCCGTCACCCTCTATGTCGGGAATATGGTGACATCATTGCCTTCACTTGCAGTTGTGGTGGTATTAGATGAGACTGAAACATTGAGAAAGTGTCCTTTTAGCAATTGACAGAAAACAAAATATGGCCATGGTTTGCATAAATGTATGTCAGGGTATGTATGTTTTAATGTCAGTATTTATTGTGAATACCGATGAATATTCTTCCATTATGATGTCATCGCATGTAATGTTTATACGGGACGTTTTTACGGGAATTGTCCGTACTATGGTTCTTGATTGTTTGTTCAATAACGATGATACCTTACATCGGTCTCACCTTCTTGTCCAAATATGTACTCGTCAGTGTTTAAGGAAGATGACCATGTTCAAACCTGCCACTTCAACCCTGACACATGTATCTCTTTCCTTCATCAGTCATCCTCGTGTATTGGTGTAGTATTTGTGTGTGCTGTTTACAAATGACCCGGACCCTGAGCTCATCTCATAATTCCCTCCATGGATTAATCTTTCATCGTTTTTCTTCCACGTGAAGGAGATGGACGTGAAGAACTTTACTTCACTTAAAACATAACATGTCAGGTTTACATCACTGCCATACTGGACTCTTTCAGGAGACACAATGTAAGGATCCTGCGTGTAATCTGTAAACACAGACATCACCGACTTGGCTAATACTGATCGTGGCAGCTTCAAAGTGTCAATGTAACATATCGCATTTAATACAACTGTTTACTTGTTACATGTGTGATACTTTATTTACATTGAAATTATGCATACGAATAAAACATATTGGATTTGTTATATTTGTAAGTAGGCTGTATAAAAATGATATAGCACAGCACTACCAATATAACGTAATAAGCTGTAACTAGCAAGTGTAGCAATAATGCACTGATGTGCAAGTTAATCTACAACAATCAAATCGACTTACTTTGAGCGTCGGGTCCACGTCCAGCTACAGAAATATTTTGTACCTCAGCTCCACATTGGACCGCGCCATTGCCGTCATAAAATGTATTAATAGAGAGGAGCACCTGATTATAGTGACTAAGCATTAGTAGTTCATGTATTGATCTGTATAGCGATCTCTGTGGAACTATACTATGAGTGAGTTTAGTTTTGCGCCGCTTGTAGTAATATTCCAGTAATATCACGGCGGGGGACACCAGTAAGAGGCTTGACTCACTGTCCATGTGGGAAATCGAACCGGGTCTTCGGCGTGACATGCGAACGCTTTAACCATTTTGGCTACCCCACCACCCAACTATACTATGATGGTCACGGAAAGTATGAGTGGAGTGGACTTACCAGGTCCATGGCAGTTCATGTACTACTGTAACATGTATTTTGATAAATCAGGACAAACTTCCTTATCAGAACGCAGCATCCGCAAGTTGATCCATTCAACGACAAACAGGGAATATTTATAAAACATTCTCTGACACTACGGGCTCTGTGTAATGGTGGTCAGTTTCAGACAAAAGTAAGAGAATGAGTTTAACAGCGCTTTTAGCAATACTAGTATTTAAGCAATATCACAGCGGGGTCACAAGCAATGGGTTTCAGACATTGTACCCATGTGTGGAATCGAACCCCTCTCTTCAGCGTGTCGAGCGAACGCTTTAACCACCAGGCTACCCAACTGATCCTTCTGACAACACAGGACTCACGAGCTGTGTATATGTTAATACATAGTCTAATGATAACGGTAGCATTGATCGTCCATATTAAGACAACTAAGCTAGTTCTCGATGGTCGCCAGTGTCTCGCCTTTTTACACAAAGGGCAAGGGCGTTATATCTGGGTAAATCTCAAGAAATGGACACATCGGCGTTTGGAGATGGAATCATTTAAAGTTTGTTCATTGTTAAGGTTAATCATGCTGTCACCTTTTTAAGATATTTAGGAACCATGATCATTATTATTCATCATACTAGCATAATGTTTATACTTCGTGTATTTGTGGAAAGTACATTTTACTCAAGATAATATTACATATAAATACCTATTCTTCAGGTTTAATACATTTACACACACGTATAGACAGACAGACAGACAGACGTATAGACAGACAGACTGACAGACAGACACACACACAGACACACACACACACACACACACACACACACACACACACACACACACACACACCCCCCCGGAATAACAGAACGCGTCCTTCATACCATGCATAAGTGTGACGTGTTCACTTTTACACACTACTTTAGCCGCATTTGTTATATTTAAACAACCCAACGATTTGCAGAATCTTTGCGTTTTGGTCAGTTTTAGCCGTCACGTACTAATAAGTCCTATGTTACATTTGAACGGTTCTAACGAATGCGTAGCGGTCTTTAAGAATAAAGCACAAACACCAAAATGATTTTTGTAAGAAGCGGCACGATTGGTGATCCTGGTGAAGCTCACTGGCCCAGTTGATTGTGTTCGAAGCCAAACGTCTTGGGAGTGGACTGAAAAGACAGTTTGAAAACATGATCATAAACCCGACGCATGTGTACATATACAGCAGAGATAGGTCCATTTGTAATTATGTATGTCATATTACACATGTGTATACAGTAATCCGTGTTCTGGAAAAGACATATTTGTGCAAAATGTTGACAGAATGAATCGAAGCTTATACATAGTGCCTAGAAATGTTTAGTAGGCTCTCCTGGATGCACTAGTGAGTGAGTGAGTGAGTGAGTGAGGTTTACGTCTCCTTTAGCAATATTCCAACAATATCATCGCGGGGTACACCAGAAATGGGCTTCACACATTTTACCCATGTGGGGAATGGAACCCGTGTCATCGGCGTGACGAGCGAACGTTTTAACCACTAGGCTACCCCACCGCCCGGAGCCACTAGGATATCATACATATACAGCAGAGATACGTCCATTTGTGGCCAGAGAGCATGAAGTTCACAGCTATTTTAAGTCATAACCACTTAATGGTTAAATGTGCCCAAACCTGTTTTAATATATACTAGCGGAATAAAGTAACTGTGCATTATTCGATATTATACCATATTTTAATGCAAAAAGATAGTAACATGACTTGTTGTGTTTTCCTTAATCAATGTTTAACTGTTAACAGGATGAGATCTAAATCTGTATGATTTGACACTAGGCACCATGACAAGCCCTTGAAGAGATATGGTGTCAAAAGTCAGTTCACAAATTCAGCATCATCGTGTGTGTCCACCATTGGCGTTGATGCAGGTTTGACAACGATGACGCATAGACGACACTAAGCAAATTGAAGAAAGTTTGTTGAATGATGTTTCATGTCTGAACCAAAGCTTGTTCCAATTCAGCTAAGTCAATGACTGATTCTGGGTTTGACGTAAACGTCTCTCCATTTTCACCCCAAATATGCTTAGGGAACGGGTCCGGAGAATCAGCTGGCAAGGGGAGTACAGGAGTGTTCCGCTGTCTCAGGAAATCTGTGATAAAACAAACAACATGTCGACGGGCATTATCTTGCGGAAGCGTGAAGTTACGTCTCTGTCCTTGAATGAACGGCTCCACATGATGCCCAATAATCTCATCTCTGTATCGCAGTCAGATTGCCACTGACAATGACAAGTTGTGTCGGACCATAAGATGTGATATCACCCCATACCCATACCCATACGCTTTCGATACCAAACTGTCAACGTTGACAACAGACACGAAGCATACCGTTCAGCATGCGCCGTCTGTACACGTTTGCCCTGCCATCTGAGCTGTCCAAAAGAAACCTCGACTTATCAGAGAACAAAACGCCATAACAATCCTGTTTCATATGCCGTAGATGCTGTCTGCATC